TTAGAACAAAATTGAATAACAAATTAGCATTTTAAGTGTTCAGTTCACGCAATCATCCCAATCGATACAAGTCTATTGGAACAACCCAAGAGACCGGAGAAAGCAAACTGCAATCACGTCAACTCAGGAGATGAGTGAAGAATGGTTTCTGATACTGTAAATCAGTCGAATCAATTCACCTGTAACTTACAAGGAACGTGGTAATGACAAGAATCCTACATCGATTACAACAAAATTGAATAACAAATTAACATTTAAGTGTTCAGTTCACACCACCACCCCAACCGATACAGGCCACTTGAAACAACCAAAGTGAGTGTAGTAGGCAAACTGCAATCACATCAACTCAGTAAAAGAGTGAAGACTGGTTTATGATGCTGTGAATCAGCTGAATCAATTCAACTGTGGCTTACAAGGAACGCGGTAATGTCACGAATCCTACATTAATTAAAACAAAATTGAACAACAAATTAGCATTTAAGTGTTAAGTTCACTCAATCATCCCGACCGATACAGGTCCCTTGGACCAATCAAAGACAAGGGAGAAAGCAAACTGCAATTACATCAAAGAAGGATAGGAGTGAAGAATGGTTTCTGATGCAGTAAATCGGTCGAACCAATTCAAATGTAGCTGACAAAAAAAGAGGTAATGAAACGAAACCAACATGAGTTTGAACAAAATTGATCAACAAATGAGCATTTCAAGTGTTTAGTTCACGCCAGCATCCCAATCTATAGCGGTCCATTGGACCAACCGAAGAGACTGGAGGAAGGAAACTGATATCACGTCAACTTAGGAGAGGAGTGAAGATTGGTTTCTGATGCTATAAATCAGTCGAATCAATTCAACTGTAGCGTACAAGGAACGTGGTAATGACGCGAACCCTACATCGGTTAGAACAAAATTGAATAACAAATTAGCATTTAAGTGTTCAGTTCACACCACCACCCCAACCGATACAGGCCACTTGAAGCAACCGAAGTGAGTGTAGTAGGCAAACTGCAATCGCATCAAATCAGTAGAGTAGTGAAGACTGGTTTATGATGCTGTGAATCAGCCGAATCAATTCAACTGTGGCTTACAAGGAACGCGGTAATGACACAAATCCTACAACGGTTAGAACAAAATTGAATAACAAATTAGCATTTTAAGTGTTCAGTTCACGCAATCATCCCAATCGATACAAGTCTATTGGAACAACCCAAGAGACCGGAGAAAGCAAACTGCAATCACGTCAACTCAGGAGATGAGTGAAGAATGGTTTCTGATACTGTGAATCAGTCGAATCAATTCACCTGTAACTTACAAGGAACGTGGTAATGACAAGAATCCTACATCGGTTACAACAAAATTGAATAACGAATTAGCATTTAAGTGTTCAGTTCACACCACCACCCCAACCGATACAGGCCACTTGAAACAACCAAAGTGAGTGTAGTAGGCAAACTGCAATCACATCAACTCAGTAAAGTAGTGAAGACTGGTTTATGATGCTGTGAATCAGCTGAATCAATTCAACTGTGGCTTACAAGGAACGCGGTAATGACACGAATCCTACATTAATTAAAACAAAATTGAACAACAAATTAGCATTTAAGGGTTAAGTTCACTCAATCATCCCGACCGATACAGGTCCCTTGGACCAATCAAAGACAAGGGAGAAAGCAAACTGCAATTACATCAAATAAGGATAGGAGTGAAGAATGGTTTCTGATGCAGTAAATCGGTCGAACCAATTCAAATGTAGCTGACAAAAAAAGAGGTAATGAAACGAAACCAACATCAGTTTGAACAAAATTGATCAACAAATGAGCATTTCAAGTGTTTAGTTCACGCCAGCATCCCAATCGATAGCGGTCCATTAGACCAACCGAAGAGACTGGAGGAAGGAAACTGATATCACGTCAACTTAGGAGAGGAGTGAAGATTGGTTTCTGATGCTATAAATCAGTCGAATCAATTCAACTGTAGCGTACAAGGAACGTGGTAATGACGCGAATCCTACATCGGTTAGAACAAAATTGAATAACAAATTAGCATTTGAGTGTTCAGTTCACGCAATCATCCCAATCAATACAGGCCCATTGGACCAACCGAAGAGACTGGAGAAAGCAAACTGCAATCACGTCAACTCAGGAGAGGAGTGAAGATTTGTTTCTGATGCTGTAAATCAGTCGAATCAATTCACCTGTAACTTACAAGGAACGTGGTAATGACAAGAATCCTACATCGGTTACAACAAAATTGAATAACAAATTAGCATTTAAGTGTTCCGTTCACACCACCACCCCAACCGATACAGGCCACTTGAAACAACCAAAGTGAGTGTAGTAGGCAAACTGCAATCACATCAACTCAGTAAAGTAGTGAAGACTGGTTTATGATGCTGTGAATCAGCTGAATCAATTCAACTGTGGCTTACAAGGAACGCGGTAATGACACGAATCCTACATTAATTAAAACAAAATTGAACAACAAATTAGCATTTAAGTGTTAAGTTCACTCAATCATCCCGACCGATACAGGTCCCTTGGACCAATCAAAGACAAGGGAGAAAGCAAACTGCAATTACATCAAATAAGGATAGGAGTGAAGAATGGTTTCTGATGCAGTAAATCGGTCGAACCAATTCAAATGTAGCTGACAAAAAAAGAGGTAATGAAACGAAACCAACATCAGTTTGAACAAAATTGATCAACAAATGAGCATTTCAAGTGTTTAGTTCACGCCAGCATCCCAATCGATAGCGGTCCATTAGACCAACCGAAGAGACTGGAGGAAGGAAACTGATATCACGTCAACTTAGGAGAGGAGTGAAGATTGGTTTCTGATGCTATAAATCAGTCGAATCAATTCAACTGTAGCGTACAAGGAACGTGGTAATGACGCGAATCCTACATCGGTTAGAACAAAATTGAATAACAAATTAGCATTTGAGTGTTCAGTTCACGCAATCATCCCAATCAATACAGGCCCATTGGACCAACCGAAGAGACTGGAGAAAGCAAACTGCAATCACGTCAACTCAGGAGAGGAGTGAAGATTTGTTTCTGATGCTGTAAATCAGTCGAATCAATTCACCTGTAACTTACAAGGAACGTGGTAATGACAAGAATCCTACATCGGTTACAACAAAATTGAATAACAAATTAGCATTTAAGTGTTCCGTTCACACCACCACCCCAACCGATACAGGCCACTTGAAACAACCAAAGTGAGTGTAGTAGGCAAACTGCAATCACATCAACTCAGTAAAGTAGTGAAGACTGGTTTATGATGCTGTGAATCAGCTGAATCAATTCAACTGTGGCTTACAAGGAACGCGGTAATGACACGAATCCTACATTAATTAAAACAAAATTGAACAACAAATTAGCATTTAAGTGTTAAGTTCACTCAATCATCCCGACCGATACAGGTCCCTTGGACCAATCAAAGACAAGGGAGAAAGCAAACTGCAATTACATCAAATAAGGATAGGAGTGAAGAATGGTTTCTGATGCAGTAAATCGGTCGAACCAATTCAAATGTAGCTGACAAAAAAAGAGGTAATGAAACGAAACCAACATCAGTTTGAACAAAATTGATCAACAAATGAGCATTTCAAGTGTTTAGTTCACGCCAGCATCCCAATCGATAGCGGTCCATTAGACCAACCGAAGAGACTGGAGGAAGGAAACTGATATCACGTCAACTTAGGAGAGGAGTGAAGATTGGTTTCTGATGCTATAAATCAGTCGAATCAATTCAACTGTAGCGTACAAGGAACGTGGTAATGACGCGAATCCTACATCGGTTAGAACAAAATTGAATAACAAATTAGCATTTGAGTGTTCAGTTCACGCAATCATCCCAATCAATACAGGCCCATTGGACCAACCGAAGAGACTGGAGAAAGCAAACTGCAATCACGTCAACTCAGGAGAGGAGTGAAGATTTGTTTCTGATGCTGTAAATCAGTCGAATCAATTCACCTGTAACTTACAAGGAACGTGGTAATGACAAGAATCCTACATCGGTTACAACAAAATTGAATAACAAATTAGCATTTAAGTGTTCCGTTCACACCACCACCCCAACCGATACAGGCCACTTGAAGCAGCCGAAGTGAGTGTAGTAGGCAAACTGCAATCGCATCAAATCAGTAGAGTAGTGAAGACTGGTTTATGATGCTGTGAATCAGCCGAATCAATTCAACTGTGGCTTACAAGGAACGCGGTAATGACACGAATCCTACAACGGTTAGAACAAAATTGAATAACAAATTAGCATTTAAGTGTTCAGTTCACGCAACCATCCCAATCAATACAGGCCCATTGGACCAACCGAAGAGACTGGAGAAAGCAAACTGCAATCACGTCAATTCAGGAGAGGAGTGAAGATTTGTTTCTGATGCTGTAAATCAGTAGAATCAATTCAGCTGTCTTACAAGGAAGGTGATATGGACACAAATCCTACATCAGTTAGAACGAATATGATGAAGAAATTAGCAATTAAGTGTACAGTTCAAGCCATCTACCCAATCGATAACGGTCCATTGGACAACCGAAGACACTGCAGAAAGCAAACTGCAATCACTTCACATCAAATTGGCGATTTAATGTGGTGCACTTTATTTTGCAAAATTCGGGCCCAAAACTTTTCCCCAAAAACGATTACTTTTGACTTTTTTAGTCAATCAAAAAATTACACCAAAATATTGCATCGATTGCTGACAAAATTATATTTTTTATTTCGCTGGGAAATCCGATTTTCAAATTCCAATTTTAAAACTGCCAGCCTATCACGTTTTTCATGACCTTCACACTTTTGCTGTTCAATGATAGTGGATATTGCGATCCTTTTAACAGAGGAAATGAATTCACATAAAAAATCAGAACTCAAACCGCGAAAAAGTAAATTTGAGCCTTGAAAAAAATCATCACGACCTATATAAGAGTCTAAACTACGATAGAAACACATTGGACTCCATTTCATTTTGAGGTTTCGTTGTACTTACCTGTCTTTTCGTAGCCGCACATTCTTCACCAAACTCTCGAACTGCATTTCGAACAGCTCCGACTGAGTTGCCCCGTTCCAGATGACAACCTTGTTAACAGGGTAGCGAGCAGGAACACCTCCACCCACTAAAAAAAATCCAACTGTTTTGTGAAAAACTTTTGGCCTTCAAAGTCAGTAGGCAAAGCGTGATCTCTTATTTATTCCATTAAATTAAATCGACAAAATGTTACATTTTTTATTGAAACTTAACTTACCAGAAAATACAGAGCTGATTTAACTTATTCGGACAAAATATTGCATCGATTGCTGACAAAATTATATCAAAGAAGCCTCTTATTTAGTAAGACAATATTCAAGGAGGGTATAATCTTCTAAAATTTGTATAAAATTATTTTAGTTTATAAGCCATAATGGCCACTTTTACTATAAAAAACATCAATTTTTTGTTCTAACAATTTTTTAATGTTTTGAACCATTTTTTTGAAGTTTAATTTGTTTTACCCGGATTATTTTTACTCCCAAAACCGGTCATTTTTGGCTTTTGTAGTCAATCAAAAAATTACACCAAAAATATTGCATCGATTGCTGACAAAATTATATCAAAGAAGCCTATTTAGTCCGACATTGTTCAAGGAGGGTATAATCTTCTAAAATTTGTATAAAATTATTTTAGTTTAAAAGCCAAAAATGGTCACTTTTACAATACAAATATCAATTTTTTTATATAAATTTTTTACTGTTTTGAACCATTTTTTGAAGTTTAATTTGTTTTGTCCGGATTAACTGATTTTGTCCGGATAATTTAAACTTAAATAATATTTAAAATAGGAAAAATTACCAAAAAGTGTGAGAGATTTGTAAAGGAGGTAAGTTGACCATTTAAATTTAGAATTCTGTCACATCTAAAAAAAATTCTAGAGTAAAAAAAACAAAGCGATAAAAGAACAGAAAATGAACCGACCGAAACAAGCGCGAATTCAAAAAAATCATAAATTCTGCAGACTGCCTTACACTAAGTGCAAACTTCTACATACAGGAAAAAAGTTGGTACACTTTACTTACTACTTGAAAACCAACACAACCCCACCACCCCGGTTCATTACAATGTCTTAAATATAGAAAAAAGATCAATTTTTGCTGCGCTAACAGAAAAGCCCGGAAAACGCTGAAAGCTGGGAAAGGGGATTGAAATCTCCAACATTGTTTACCATGTGGCCGCTAACTATTTCTACGCTGGTATAAATCTGTATTTCATGAACAACAGCCAACAGACACTTGAGAGCGTCAATGAACAAAGAAAACGAAATATTACTTTTCAAAACCTTTTGAAACCGGAATCAATATGCAATTTCCTCATCATCGGGACCTATAAAAAATCATCGGGGCCTATATAAGAGTCTGATCTACGTTCATCGACTCTTAAAAAGCCACTAAAAGTTTTGGGCGATCAAGTTATAAAACTTAGAATAACCTAGATCAATAGGTAACTTTTCCTTAATCCGCTGAGAAATCTTCCGGGATTAAAGTTCTAAAACTCAACTTTCTAAACTTAAATCCGGCCACGTTTTCGTGCTAATTGAACTTTCATTATTGGAAAACGTGATTTGCCTTCCTTTTAGCTAATAAATTTGATTTGAACTAAGAAAATCCAAAATCAAATCGCAATAAAAATCATAGTTAAGCGTGAAAAATGATAAAACTTTGTCCGAAAAAAAACAAAAAAACGCTCTAAAAAGTGTCTTCACTTTGCTTATTGACACTTCAAAAGCAGGTGACTCATAAAACATTGACAAAAACAAAGGTGTCAAAACTGCAACAACCCATTGATTTGCAACAGTGGGAGATTATCCTCAGAAAAACCGATTCACAGAAGCAACGCTGCTTTTACTGATCGCTTGGGTCCCTACTTACTGTATGGCTATCCTGGTGAGGCTGTTTTCATTCATTTTGCCATAGCCGTTCAGGCCTCCGAACTCACCACCCTAGTGCTAAGATCTGTGCGCCTTACTCACAAAAAGTAAGTCTAAAAACTCTAAACAAATAAGACTTATTGCTGTATATGCATGTGCGTTCCTCTTCACTACATGCACGAATTAACGTCTGACTTCCGATTGGATATGAATCAAAGTTTAAAGTTAAAGTTTCCTTAAGATACCACCTATGCTACTATAACACCCAAAAGTTCATTCAAAAACTAATTCATTATTTGTTACATTCTTTTGACTTTTCAGTAAAATCGACACCATATCAAGAAGACATGTTCAAGACGAAATATTATCTTAGTTTTAAAAGTTAGGAAAAAAAGCTCGCTTTAGAAAACTTGCCCATTTTTTTTTCAAACTCCAGCATAGAGGCGATACAACGCAAGCCTAGCATTGCAAGCTCGCGAAAAGTAATTCCGACAGAAATAACTAAGGCAAAAAAAGTTTGTTGGAAAAAATTGATTAAGAGAAAAACAGTCAAGCAACACAACCACGAGCATTGAATACGCTTTTAATTTTACCGAGTGGCCTTTTTTCGAACATAAAAGAAATTAATTAAGAAAAAAATCTAGAAAAAGAAACACCAGTATTAAATAAGTTTTATTATTTACCGAGCGGCCACTGAGCAGCTCATCAAAGAAACTCAATTCTAATTTTTGAAAAACACTTTCAGTCGGTAGGACCGGGGGCTAATTAATAAAAAAAAATCGCTTGCTTGAAATTCACATCTCAAAGAAGAAAGAGTCATGGCCATGCCGGATAAACCACGAACGCTTGAATAGATGTTTCAATTCACTTAGTTCCTGGCCCTTAAAAATATGTTCAAGGCAGGCATATTTCCAAACTTTGGAGGTTTCTCTTTCTTCACAACTTCCTCGTTCTTCTTACCCAGAGCTAAGTGACTGCATCTAAACAACATCTCAGCACAACCCACGCCCCCATCCTTCCAGAATATTCTTTGCTTCTCCCTAAGAGGGTCTGTGTTGAAAATAAGGAAGCCGTTGGATGTGGCACAGACAAAACACCCTCCGTCTTGGTTGAACCGCAGGGACATGATTGAGCATGTATCCCCGCTCATCACTTCTGAAAGGTCAACTTGATTTGTCGCAGCTTTTGAATCAGCTTCCAATTGCAGTTGGTATTCAATTTTTAAGAAATCAATCAAATAAATTAAAGTAATCAAAAGCTGTCATAAATGTTTGGCAAAATCAATTAATTAATCTTATCTTCGTCAAGCACAGGTTTTCTCAAAGCAAAAAATTGTTTTCTATATACGGCCAATCTTTTTAACCAATTGCTCAATTTTTCGTCTTCGTCAATAAAAAACTTGTCGTTGAAAATTGATAATTCGGGCATATCTTTCTTCTGTCGATACCTATTAGAACTCATGGCCGCCAAAGTGGGATTAAGCGCTGATAACTCTTGTGTCGAGTTCTTGGCATTCTGCTTCTTGGTGTTTGCATTTCTGTTTGCCGTTGACTTGAATTGTCTCTGTTTAAATGCGTCTGAATTTAATTCATTCATAACGGCTGTTGACGGTTTTACTTCTTTTACTTCCGTTTCTGAATCCGAGCTTTCTCTTTTTTCTTTCTTCTTCATGATAGAAATAACGTCCTGTTTCAATTTTTCAGAGGCTGATATCTTCGGACTGCTTACTCGATTATGCGTCTTTGAAGCTGATTTTTTGGGTGCTCTGTCAAAAAAAAACAGCGCATAGCTAAGCTGTTGTTTTTTCACTTAGCTATATTGTTAAACTCTAAAAGAATATGCCAACTTAGAATGTATCAGATGACCAAAAACCCTTTGCAAAAAATGTTGCGAGCAGGGAGTATTTCATTCCTCATTTTGACGACATTCTTTCCATAAATCAAAACAGAGTGTTCTTTAATGACCAAATTTAGTTTTCAATGAGACTATTAATTGCTTAAAAAAAAATAGCATCACTTCAAGTTTCAATATTTCGTCCATCAAAGTGGATGAATTGAATAAGCTTGGGATATTTTTCAGCCATTAAAACAACATACGTACCTGGAGCGTGATGAGCGATTTTCTTCGCTCGATCGACTAGAGCTTCGTTTTGGTTTCCGATTGCTACTTTTTCTGTCCCTTTTAGAGCTTCGGTATGACTCATGTTTGCTAGTTCTGCTACGGCTGCGAGACCTTCCTCTGCGGGATTTGTAACTTCTTGCATGTTTCTTTCGATTTCGCTCGCGGGATTTTGAACGACTTCTGCCGCTTGATGACGACCTACCACGCCCCATTTATTAACTCCCGTTTTTTTCTGAAAATTATAATAAACAAAAGCTCAAAGTCTGAAATTAAAAGTATATCAGAGACTAATGAACAAATCCAATGTAAACAAAGTCATTTGTCGTTAGAAACCAAGATTGACCATAAACTCTAAGGTCTTAACTCTTAAAAAAAACTAACATAATAATTGCAATCTAAAGATGAATCAAAATAGCAAGTGTAAGTCGAATTCACAATTACAAGTAAGAAAAAATGAACACTTTAATTGCAAAATGATAATTAATATTATTAAGCAAGTTAAAGTCACACAACTTTTCATGGTTTTATATTTATTACAATATAATAAAATAATGATTAGAATTTCAACATCAAATAAATTTAAATGACATTCAGAACCCCGTGATGTCTACCCCCGGTGAGCTAACGAGCTCTGTTGATCTGGCTACCCCTTTGATTATTCTCACACGAACAGCAATCATCGTTAACGGTGGACACACGCCATGAGCAGGCGAAACAGAAGCATGTTATATGAAAAAGAAGCAAGAACGTTCAGAAGAACATCTTCAGAACATTTAATCGGTTTCCACTAGTTCCGAGAACGATTGTTGTAGTTAACAGCCAAGAAAGGAGCTTCCAATTGGCTGAATACCCTTCCGATTGAAGAAAAGGGATACACACTCTACAAAGGTGACTTTCGTGATGCGTTGGCAATGTGCTACTGCCTACCTGTCAAGAAACTGCCGACCAATTGCGTTTGTGGCCACTCCTTCAATGTTGAGCACGCCATGATTTGTAAAACCGGAGGTTTTGTTGCGCAGCGACGTGACGGGACTAGAAATTTTTTAGCCCATACCCTGGATTCTGTTTGCCGAGGTGTTGGCATTGAGCCTCATTTGCAGCCTCTCAGCGGTGAAATTCTCCAACCGGGTACTGCGAACTCAACTGACGAAGCGCCATCATCTGCGCTAATTTCTGGGCAAGAAGCGTTAAGACTTATTTAGACGTCCGTGTTTTTCATCCCAACGCAACCAAGTTATATTGGAAAATCATTCAAATCGTTATATGTTCGTTATATTCTTCAATCGTTATATGTTCACCATGAGAACGAAAAGAGGAGTGCATATAATGACAGAATTAATAACGCTGAACGTGGAACATTCACGCCCCTCAACAACTGGTGGCATGGGGAAAGAAGCCTCAAAGTTCGTGAAAAGGCTCGATCAGAAGATATCCGAGAAAAGTATTACTCCCTATTCCGATGCCATTAGTGGAAACCGGCTGAAGATGTCTTTCTCGCTCCTACGATCAGCTATCACAGGGTTGAGGGGATCCCGGAAGTGGAGAACAGACAACAACCAAGGCTAAAACTTCCCTCACTTTGATGTTATATTGTTTTTCTTTTGTGAATTTACTTTGTATTTTGGAACTAAATTTAAACTGTTTCCATTTGGTTTTCCATAGGTTGCCATAGAAGCTTCTTCACAAAAAATAGCCAGAAAATATTCCTACAAATTAAATTTCATAGTCTTGTAAGTTAAACTGCTGCTGTTTATGTTTGAATTTGCATTTTGATATCGGTTCCAAATAAGAATTAATTTTGTGAAAAAAAAAACAATTTTCGATATAATGACTGCTGAATCTTGCTTCGAAATTGCAGTTTGTAAGTTCTTTTTGTTCTCATCGATTAGGTTGTTCACGTACTTAATTTTTGTGAATGCCGGTATTTAATTATGTTTGATTTTCCATAGATGGCAAATTTTTTTCCAATCGAGAAACAAGGAAATGTGACATTCGACCAGAATGTCTCAAAAGGCAAGTTCGATTTCGAATTTTCTATGTGGCAGTTGAGCGAGAAAAATGTTGGTTTTAACACATTAAGATTGAGTTTCAATATTACGAGGCCAAACTGTGCACTGGATAGGAGCACAATTTTGTATCTGTATGTTTCTGGATTCCAGAGACAAGTCTTTAAACATGTGAAAATTTTGTCGGAACGATCAAAAGAAAGTAAAGAACAAAAGAACAACAAAGGGAGGGTCCTTGTTGCGGAAACCGCTTACAATGCACAAAATGCACAGTTTGGCCTCGTAATGAAAGAAGGTTTTGTGAAGTACAGAGACAAGTTCTAATAGGATTTTTTGCAATAGCTGTACAGCATTTTTGATGTCATTATCGTCACAAAATAGAAGTGTGTCATCTGCATATTTTACCAATTTGCAAGATTCAGTTAAAGTTTTGTTCAAGTCATTTATGTATAGGTTGGAAAATAAGGGTCCTAAAATTGTACCTTGAGGTACGCCCTGGTGAAGTAAGATCTAATTGGATTCAGAAATTTTTACTACATTTTTCTGTTGTCTGTTTTTATAAAGCTATGAATCATCTAAATTGCAGACTCCGAGAATCCCAAAACATCCAGTTTAGTCTTTAAATGTTCGTGGTTGATAGAATCGAAAATTTTTGATAGATCTAATAAAAATACGGCAACATATATGTTTTTATCTATTGATTTGCGGAAAAACTCAGTGCAATAAAGGATTGCGTCCATTGTTGAAAATGCGGCTCTAAAGACAAACTTGGAAGATAGGCTGGAAGATCAGACAATCCGGTTGGTTTATTTGCGTTTAAGTTTGTTAATTCGTGTTTACCTCCACTTTCAGTTACAAACCGGAAACAAAACTTTTGTTTACGTTACTTTTTGATCCTTGTGTTTTTGAATGTTGGATCAACTACGTTTTTTTTCTCAAAAAAACATCCGAGTCTAGAAAGCTTTTTGAAGCTGTTTGTTATTGTTTCAACAAATTTATTTTTAGTGGTGAGATTTGGTTCGCTAATTTTTTTGAGTTTTTTTTGTTCATTTACTAAAAACACAAACTAAACTTGGGATAAATTCAATGGAGTTTAATTTTTGTTAGATTTTTTTTGTCTCAACTGAAAAATTCAGAATGCAAGTGGAAAATCATTGTGTTCATTGGAGATTCAAGAGGTTGCTAAAGCTTATGCAAAATAAGTGAAGCAAGCACCATTTGATTTGGGGCAGGAAAAAGCTATAAATTTTCTAGAAAAAAGGTTTCTCTTAGGATTACCTGTCAATGAAGGGTTTGTTTTTTGAAAAAACAATACCGAACCTAAGTACTAGAAACTTAACAGTCAGACAATTTCAACATAATGAATAAAACTGACTTGATGGTGTTAAATTCTCAGAAAGAAACTAACAAAAAACTGTTGAATCTGAAAAATGTAACGACATGAGCGAACATCTTTACAATAAATTAAGGTGAACAGATAGTCAACCGATTCTGATCTACGGTTTAGCAAAACTACACAAGAAAACAAACTACAGCGCCCGGTCTTTTCTCTAACTGGAAGTTCAAATGACAACTTGAACGAAACATTAGGAGTGAACTTAGAATCGAAAGTAGTAGATGTTTCAGCTGATCAAAGGGGGGTGCAGGGCAGACCCCAAGATTTAACATACGTTACATTGTTCCGGATCGCCACGCTTTGTTATAGCATACAAGAGTCAACAAAAGTAATAGTTGTTGGAGCTGATCAGTGGATGAGGATGCTAGGCGGACCCCATGTATTAACATATGTTGGGTATTTCGGATCCGCCATGCTAAGTATTAACATAGAAAAATCTTCAAGAAATTATCAAAGGAAATAGATTTCCTAAAATTTTTGGGTTGTGTAGTGATAAGAGAATGGTAAAACAAATTGGTGTTTTTTTGTGGTTTTTGTGTAAAAACGTCTAATTTTTTCGCAAAAACCTCGGCGCACGTTAACTTATAGGTAAATGTCATTGGTGCATTAAGTGTGAAACGTAGAATGAAAGTGTTTCATTTAGTTGTTTTTTGTTGCATTGTAAGTCAATGGTAAGATTTTTTTGCACAAAAAACTGACTTTTTTTTGCAAAAACTTATTAAAAAACCATTAAAAATTTAAAAACACGATCAGATTTAATACCATTGGAGCAAAAACTGTTTGATTAGATAATTTTACTCTTTAGCACAGTTTACTCTTTATTTTGCTGGAAATGCAGCTGAAACTTTCAAGTACTGATAAAATTGTCAAGAGTCATAATTTGAAGACTGGTACGTTCAATTCGTTCAAATTAGAATCAGCATCTGTCTAAATATATTTTTTTGCTCAATGTCTACTTCATTAATTTTCTGTCACAGAGGTTGTCTTCTTTGTGACCCACAACAGTGCAAATAATATAATTTAGCATCAATTTTGAATTTTTTTGAAAGATAAACCAAAGCTCGATTGAATTTAAATTAGGAAAATTAAACTCCTAACTCCCAGGTCAACAAATGATTTCTATGAGTGCTCAATTCTCTGCTTATTTACCATAAACACAAAATTTATCCAAGTGTCTTATCACAATTACCTCTTGTATTCATAAATGAAGCAAATTTGGAGGAGTTTTCTAAGTCAAATTTCAAAAGAAGTATCTGTTTCTGAAATACATACGAATGGCAGGTGTGCAAACTTTTCTAATAACTTGTTGAATTTATTTGACTGATTCAATTGTTCTAGTACTCAATGAGTCCTAATTGATTTTAAAGTTGCTTCGACAACGGAGATATATAGTAATTTATATTTGACATTTCAAGTGATTAAATAGCTTGAATGGAGAATTGTGAATAATGTTTTATCTATACTCCTCTATCAGAACTGTTTTTGCATGAATACCAAGAAGATTGTAAAAATTTATCAAAAACGAGTCCAACTTGGAAACTTTAAGTTTCCCATATTTTTACTTAACTCATTAAAAGATAGAAACAAAGTGCACAATGATAATTTTTCGATGTCACTATTTTTTGACGTTTGACACAGCCTCCCCATGTTGCAAGGGTCAGGGACACTATCTCTTGTGCTTTCATGCCTCATTCAGGAGGCAATTCGGTTCGCTTAAGATATGAGACTACAAAATCGTGTTACAGCTTAAAAGCCACTGCCAAACCCCACTCTAGAAATACAAAACGTCCGTGTGGCAGGTCTCTAATTACCTACAACACGCGACCGCCATAAAAAAAAACAGGGTTCGAAGCTCAA